CTCTGGTGTTTCCTGTGGCGTGGAGATGCCGGCCGCACGGCCGAGCCTAGGGCTGAGAAAGATGAGTCCATTGCTGCTACGTGGGCACGAGTTGGAGCAGCACGGCTTGGTCTTTGACAAGGGGTGTTGGACCGATGTCGACAAGTTGCTCGATAGGTTCAACTACTGCCGCCAAAGGCGATGGGGAGTTCGACAGCTGCTCAGGGCAGCAAAGGCCGATAAGAAAGGCCGCATCAGATTGCTGGGCATTGACGTCCCGATGAAGGAGACCATCGGCCAGGACTTGTTCCCTGTCAGGATTCGCATGCTCAGGGCCACAACGAGCGACTGGTCAGCAGCGAAGAGGCTGACTACCTTCTCGCGACAGCGTGGTACAGCAATCTGGATGCTGACGAAGCCCAGGCGAGATCGAGCGAGTTTGGTGTCACGGTGCTTTCCGCCGCACATACACCCAAGAAGCTCTACCACCGCACAACCGCCAGCGGTCTTCAGTCGATCCTCAAGGGAGGCATCATTCCAGGAGCGAAGAGATCTGGTCGTCCGCATGGCTATTTCTCTTCCTACCGCCTCAACGACGCACGCTACCAAAGCGGCATGAGATCTAACATGCCGATTGAGATCGCGATTGATACATTCAAGGCGATGGCCTCTGGATGCGAGTTCTTCACGACTGACTCCGATGGCACCCTCACGCGGAACACCGTTCCGCCGGATTGCATTATTTCGGCAGTCGATACGTCCAAAAAGGACCAGCCGCTGTATGTTGCCGAAAGCACTGAAGCCACCATCACTGGTGAGCCTGCATTCAGAGCCAAGCGCGACTACGAGGAAGCGGCGAGCTCCTCCAGCAAGGCCCCGCCAGCAGCGAAGACAATGCCGGTCAAGCCCACGGCAGCAAAAAGCTCGGCACCCAAGCCGACTGCGAACAAGATCCCACCTACCACAACTACGGTGGAAGAGTTTGCAGATGTTGCTTTGGACGACGATAAAGCCACCCGCGAGGGTGAGTCTTCTGCTGCTGTGGATGTTGACAGCGACACAACAGATGCGGGCGAGGAAGACCCATATCCTCTCGGGTCGTTCCCCTGTGCAAATTGCCAGGCCGTCGTAGTCAAGGGGATGCTATTCTGCCTCAAATGCAAAGCTCCCCAGACGGACGAATCCTCCAAGGTGACCAAGAAATTCTTTGAGAATAGAGGTCTGCGACTTCGTCTTCTCGCGACTGCTGCTGCGGGGTCGCGCAAACCAGTGTGGAAAACCTGATCAGCGCAGACTTTAGACAGCTCAACGCAAGCTCGAAGAAGCGGGGTCAAATGTCCGCTGAGGCTACTGTTGTTCGCGATGCCAAGGATCGTGTGGTGCGTGCCAACAAGCTCAACTATTCCAGTGTGGCAAGTCGGTGGGAGCTCGATGGCCAGTTTCAGAAGCGCATGATGCAGGAGGG